TTTCCATGATTTTAGAGGACTTTACATTGACATTTTCTGCTGAATTAGGTTGAGCACAAACACTATTTACCTACCTGCTAACTAACCTTGATTAACTTGATGCTCAGCCGCAGCTACCACTTGTATTAACCATTCATAACTCTTACATAAAGATAACCTTATTTTGTCTAAAACATGTATTCACTTAAAAACGGATGATTTTATGACTCCTTGTTTTTTGTCCTTCGCAACTAGGTCCTCTCAAAATAAACATATGCACATGCACACATTTGTCCCACCACATTTTTCATTTACTTGTTTTTGTCCGAGAAGGAAGGGTTATGAAATCATTGCAGGTGGTGAGTGAACCAACAAAGACATTAACTCAGACAACAACAAAATGCTACCACGCGTTCACAACAGGTACAATTCCTACAGTTTTGTTACTTGCATTCAAAGGCAAAATTATGGCTGTACTCTCCAATCAAAAATTATATAATAAAAAAAACTAAGGTAGTGATAACCTGAGCACTATGGCGTTAATCAAGAATCATGCAAAAGCATATATTACAACCTTTAAATTCCAGTCTAGTTTTTCAGTAATGGGGGGTGAATACTTCAAAGCTAAATGAACAACATGCACACCGAAATGCAGTTGAGTAAAAATTCTGGAAAAATGGAAGCTGTTTGCAAGCTGCAATTTCCCAGCTCCGACGGATTTCTAAGTGCACCAAAGCCTTTCTTTTTTAATAACAAAATACCTTGCTTTCTGTAATGCTTTAAATAAGTAGGTACAGCATACAAAATCCAGACCTTGCAGAATACTGAGGTCACAATTCTTCATTTAAAACGAGACATAGCAATTCTGTACTTCTGTTTTTAAAAAAAAAGGAAAATAAATAAATAAACATAAATAAACACATTCATTGCAAAAACTCTCAGTGGACCTTTGAAAGAAGTAAAAGGCTCACACACTGTTCTTTTTGTGAACAGAACTACAACTGGTAACATCTCAAGATGAATAAAATCCCCGTTGGTGCCTTAAAATGTAGCCTACTGTCTGCCAAAGCTTTTATTTTGGTACCACATCCGAACACCACAGACTGTAATGTGATCTGAGGTGCCTGGTTAAAATTTTTCTGGTATCATGCTCTGTAATTGATGTTCCCATCAGTGTAATTCAATCAGAGCTCAAAGTACTGTATATCAGCGCCAAGCACTTTCCCCACACAGAAACAGCTAAATGGACAGAAAAGATACACTTGAGACCAGTGATAATTTAATTGTGTGTTCAGTGTGTGTGTGTGTGAGTCTGTGTGTGCATGTGTGTGTGCGTGCATGTGCCAGACACAATAGAGAAAAGAAAAGCAATATCACTCTGTTAAACTGAGATGTGATAACAGGCATCTCAACTTGACAATGCAACACATCGTATAGAGAGGAAAGACATTCAGACTTCAGACATTATATATAAATATTTCTAAGTATATTTTTTAACAGTATATGTTTAGGTCAATGCAAAGAATTGTGTTTTTGAATTTCACCAAAAATATTTGTTTATATATATTAATATGGGCTTTAAGTCTTAACTTCAATTGGAGAACTTGAATCACAATGTTCATATAATAATTAAAGAATTACAGCCATTTTTTGAACTCTTTCACTATTATCAATTGATAAACATGGACCATTTCTTCATTATTTTTTCACAAAGGAACATTTAAAAGGTCTTGATGTAATTTCAGCTGTGGTATTTGCATTGGAAACCTGTTACTGTAAATCTGTGATATTCGGTAAAAGGAGCATTTAATGCAAGCAGGTAAATAAGTAAAGTTTATTTATTAAGCACAGGCAAACGGTCACAAAGCACTGTACACCAAAAGAGTAAAATAAATAAGTACATTAAGTGCCATAATAGCCGGTAAAAGGTCATCCTTAAGCCACATCAACAAAGAAATCTATTAGTGAGAAAGTGGGAAAGTTGGGAAGAGCCAAATAAACAAAATAAAATATATTGAGAAAACCTTTTGGTGACGATGAAAAACATTCCACAGTCCCAAAAATGGAAAGGCTGGAGAAGACTTTGCAAAAAAAAGGGGGGGAAGAGAGCTTCAGAACAGTGAAACTAAGGTCAAGCTGTACCAGAATGACAGGAAGAAAAACGTGTGGAGAAAACTTAGAAGGGCTCATGGTCTGAAGCATACTACATCATCTTTAAAACTCAGTAGATGCATGGGCATGCGTAGCTTCCAGTGGCACTGGGTCACTGCAGTTTATTGATGATGTGACTG